TGCAACGAAGTAGCATAGCTTAGTTGCATATTGGAAGGGGGTATAGGATACATCGATAGAGACTCCAATCGTGGTAGTACATTTGGCATCTTCCTCATCACCTCACATACCCTCTCAAGGTTACCAATCAGACCGGAATAGACGACCTCTGGTTTCTCCGCGTCGATCACTCGTCCTCCCTTTAAATTAATATCAACCGATACGGAAAGGTAGTCTACAGTAGACAACATGCCATGACGGACAGCATAAAAGCACTCCCATGCTTGAGCAGGGTATAGTAGTGATGATGGCAATGCAGTGGGGTTAATAGTCTGCCATCTACTGGGAGTGAATGATAATAGACTCTTAGGAGTTTCCTCCGCATTTGTATGAATGATCCCGACAGTAACCTTGAATATTTCCCATGACCACGCAGTTTTAGTGAGCAGAGGTATATGCTGGGAATCTCTGATGACCCTAGGGCAGTAGGTTGTACTGCTGTTGACATCCACATTAGATTCGATTATTGCCATTTACTCAACGAGTAAAATCGTTAATCATATATTTGTCTATGAGGGACAGCTTATCCTTATCGATTGGTATTTTTGATAGTATATCATAATGAAGATTTAATGGATTCATCCCATTAGATATACATTAAATAGATTACAGTATTATTAGAATAGAAAGATATGGACTAAGTATGCAGTGAATATGATGATAAGCCCAATTCTCCTCGTCCCATTACAAGTCAACACAAGCCCACTTGATAAAACTCCTATTTACGCAAAGAACCCGTATGAATGTACATGATAGTAGCATAGGAAAATTACTGATAACTTAAGTGCTGATAATCGGGTGTTACCACATTAAGCACCTCCCACCCCAACACTCGTGTGGGGGCAACTATATAGTAGAGGCTAGCAGCAGTGAGCACTACGATCTGTCACCGCTACAATGCAGCAACAACAACAACAGCAGCACTACGGTTAAGTACGACTTCCTGAAAGGCGACGAGTATTTGTTGTTGTTTCTGACAACTACATAACGACAATTTAAAGGGACCACTATCCTTCCAGAGAAATGATAACCATAATGAAGGACAAGAAGCCAATTAAGTAATGATGATGATGATGATAGTGGCGTTAGAGTGAGTATGAAGGACCAGATCCCTGATATACACTGTATAGTTGATGATAAGACAGTGCTTATCACTGTGCATGGTGGCAAGTCTCAAATACGGATGAGCCATGCTCACTCAATTGAGCTCCGGAAGGCGTAGTATTGCCGGACTTTAGTCATAGCAGACGGTCTCAATAGACCATCGAGTTCATTATAGAGAGATAATACACCAACGACAACATCATAATGCATACTACAACTTCTTCTTGTCCGTTAATGGTCGAATAAGAGGGTAGTAGTAGTAGTAGTAGTAGTAGTAGTAGTAGTAGTAGTATACTTATTGTCAACATTCCTCTTCTTTACCCTGGACCACTGCCACCGAAATACTAAGAGAACTGCCGCTCTCGATGACGCCGCCGCTGGGTGGTGGGAGCCATCTATCACAGCCAGCTCGAGAGAGTTGAATCCTGTGGAATGCAGTGAAGCTAATGCAGGCGTGAGGAAGTCGACAAAGGCCTACCCGAGGTGGTGGTGCCGACTGATATGTCCGTAGGCAAGAAATCCAAAGTCCCCTCGAAACCTCGACTAGCCAAGTACTATGAGCATGCGCTGAGAGTATCATTTCGGAAAGTTACGAATCATCATAGAAGTAGTAATAGGACCAGACAACAGGAGCGGGGTAATCTCAGTAGCAGTGGAAGCTGGTCTAGTAGGAGCTCGGCCGGCAACTTCATCACATGGAGACTGACAAAAGCTCACCACACGGTTCTGTCGACGTGCCTTGCGATGGTGATAATGAGTGAAATCACGATTCAAGCTCAGCTTACCTTCCTCCTTCTAGCAGTTGTACTCATGCCTCCAAGAACATCCCTGTGGTATGCCCTGGAGGAGTGATTACTAGTCCTGGCGACAACCTTGGGTGGCTCAGCTGTTCTGATGAAGAGGAAGAAGTCGATGCGGAGGAGAGAAATTGAACCTATATCGTATCTTGGTCGAGATCCGAAATACGCAGCATTAGGAGTGTGATCCGTCTGTTGTTGTCGAAGGAGCAGCATAATGGAGGCTTGATCCTCGCGGAGAGAGCGTCCGTCAGATTCTTTAGATCCTCCTCCTCCTCAGCACCCTCCTTGCAATCAACCTCTTGCAGTTGTTGTTGTTGTTGTTGTTGTTGTTGTTGAACTCCTCGACAAGCATTCCCAACAATACTACAGGGGTAATACGACGGGGAGGTGGCGGCCATCACCATCATGATACACTCAAGAAGAAGACAAGGACTGCAAGGATGATCTCTACTAATGCAACTACAATTCACTACGGAGCCACAGAAAGGAAGCCTCGAACG